TATCAGAGAAGAAAAACTAGTAGATTGGTTTTAGCTGCTGAATAGCCTTAGGGATTAAAGGTAGAGTTGTAGGTTAACAGAAGACATTTCTGAAAGGAGTGATTCTTCTATAATTAAAAAAAAAGCACACAAATGGCATTGTGCAAGAGACTGCTAGCTGATCAAGAAATCCATCTCCTCTTCCTGGGCATGTAGCCAGACCACATTTCCCAGCCTCTCTTGCAGTTAGGCGTGGCTTTGTGGCCAAATGTTAGCCAATGGAGTGAGAGCAGGGAAGCGTGCCACTTCCAGGCCTGGCCCGGAAAACCCTCCAGGCATGGTTCCCCTGGGCCAGCAGAGGCAGGAGAGCCTAGTGACCTAGGAGGGTGCTGGGTGCCAGAGTCGCTGCTTGGAGGGGAGCCCTCTACTGATCACTGACACCTGTTTCGGACTTTACACCAGCAAGAAGTAAATATTTATAGTATTTGAGCCATGATACAGTTTGCTCCGAGTAGCCTCCCTAACTGATCTAGGCATAATGGGTAGAATGCTCGGCAACACTGGTGAGTTCAGTCAAGGTGCTAAGAATTTCGGACTCCGCTTTAATTTTGATTACTTATATGTCATGTTATATGAAATGACCAGTGAATTTCAAGAATCAGTTTAAGTCATGATAAAATATGTGGCAAAAGTTTTTTAATGTATCATTTCTAATTGATACAAGTGGTTTATTGAGTATCAGTGTGGCCTCTCTCTTTGATTTAATGAGCTGTGTGGGGCCTCTGTTGGCTTTAAAGGGACTCTGTGGAGACTTAAAACATTCAGAGTCCTTATTTCAAAGAACTGGAAATACAGTTTTCATCATGCACCCTCTGTGTTCAAAAGCCCGTAATCACTTCTTATTATGTAGCATTTTGTTTCATTTATTCCATCATCCCAAAACTATGTGTCACACCCTGACCTAGGTTCTCTGAAGAGAGTCCATTCCTCCAAAGAATTTGTGCTTGGTACACAGTTACTGAGTTTCTATACTGCAACCATCTGACCATCGGCTCCTTTTAGCCTTAATAAACCATGTATTGTTTCTTCATTACATTTTTTTAGTATGTCTGCAATTTTAGGTAGAGTATTTTTTGAAGGCAGGGAATATATTTTATAGAGCTTCTGTTTCTCCCCTCTTGGGCACTTCTAGAGACGCTGGACACTATATTAATTGAGTAACCATCCCTGTAGTTTCTTTTGATTATCTTGCTTGGATTTTCTGGTATAGTTTTGTATTATAGTTTGTGTTAACAGGCAAATGTGTTTTTTTAGTCTGTTAGGAATTCATAAAATTATGGAGGAATGTTATGACTGGAAGGATCTTTTTAAGTGAATTCCTGATCTTTTAGAAAATGGTCTAGTTCCTGATACTCAGGGTATGGCCCTGAATCATGGCATGGGCATCACCGGGGGGCCTCTCAGAGGCACAGGGCAGGGCCACACTCAGACCTGTGAATCAGAACCTGTGTTTTAACAAGGCCCTCAGGTGACCCACATGCTCATTAAAGTTGGAGATGCTCTATTGAAGGTCAACCCCCCATTTTACTCTTGAAGAAACTAGTTAAAGTAGGGAGTTGCCCAGAGTCACATAGCTGTTTATTTTAGTGGTTCCCATCTTTGGATACATCTTGGGATCACTTGGGAACCTGTCACAAATACTGATGCCTGGGTTCCAGCCTCACACATTCTGACTTACCTGGTCAGGATTGCAGCCTGGGCACCAGCATTCAGAAAATCTCCCTGGACGACTGACATGCAGCCAAGCTGAGAGCCGCTCATCTGGTTGATGAGAGAAGCCAGCTTTCTTTTCTTTTCTTTTTTTTTTTAAAGATTTTATTTATTTATTTGACAGAGAGAGAGAGAGCGCACAAGTAGGCAGAGTGGCAGGCAGATGGAGAGGGAGAAACAGGCTCTCCGCTGAGCAGGGAGCCGGATGTGGGGCTCGATCCCAAGACCCCAGGATCATGACGTGAGCCGAAGGCAGCTGCTTAATGGACTGAGCTACCCAGGCACCCCAGAAGCCAGCTTTCTTGATGCTTCAGTCAAGGAGGCCTTTTACTCCATGCATGGATATATGTTCAGAAATGGTGTTTTCCCTGTCTGATTTCTCACCATCATGTGTCACGCATTTTATATCCATAGCATTTACCCCGCTTACCACCCGCTTCTCCCACTGGCAGGGACCCCATGAGGGTAGGACCTTTGTCTTGTTCACTGCTAGGTCCCAACTCCTAGGACAGTGTCTGGCACACATTAGGTACTCCTTTAATATTTGTAGGACAAATAGAAGGAATTGTGATACAGAGGGAAATGTGGGCTGCTCAGATAGCACCAGCAGGGTGACCTGTCATTGGAAGGCTCCTGAAGGATGGTTGAGCTGGAGAGTCAGCCAGGGAGGGCAGCATGGAGATGTGCAGCTGAGGGTGGACTTGGACCCAGATCTGTCTGCCCTTGAACTTGCACTTAGAATGTTGTCCTGGGGACAGAGAGGCCAGCTGTTTGCTTCAGACCTCAGCAGTTAGTGGTACTGGGATAGAGGCTCCACTCTGCAGACCCTCAGACTGGTGCTTCTCCCTCCCAGAGCCACCTCTGGCTTGGTGTTGTGAACAGGTTTTACAAATCGATCTGAGGGTCCTCAGAATGAAAGGCCTATCCCAGAGTCTGGCCTGTGGGTCTTCAATATAAGGTAGCCATTTCTCATGGAAGTTTTCTTCTGTTTTAGTTTTTTTCCCCTGAGAACCTGGTGTTTTTGAGGATAGAATGACTTGATTTCATTCAGTTTATGTGAGTGACTTCCTTTTCTGGTTAACTATTAAGACTTTATTATGCCAGTGTTGAAGAGAAGTCATGGTTGATTGTGATATTTCTGTTACTTTTCTTTTTTTAACGTTTAATTCTTCTGATTTGTTATTTGGTATGTTTTACTGCTCATTTACCTATTGTCGAACTTTGAAGTTAGGTGTAAAAGTCCTTTTTTATGAAGCCATTCATTAGTGTGTCCCAGTGTATGTTAGTCATTTTTAAATCTTTTGATGTTAAGACCGTTGTTAAGATGTCTTGTTAAGTGGTAAACTTATACTATCTTTTTTTGGGTAATAGGAAGCCAGAAAATGTTAAGCCTTGAGTGTAGCACATTCTTTTTAACATCATAAAATTTCAAGTTTCAATTCCGAAAGGACATTAAGATGAGATGTTGCATTCTGTGGTTAGAAGGCTGTTGCTGGCAGCTCTTGCAGATGTTACTTGAAGTCAGACTGCTGTTGGCTTTACATCAGCCATTCTTTATAATGTCCTGTAATTCCACACTCACAGTCATGGGAAGAGATGAATGTTGATTTTCCAAAGGATACATGAATTCTGAGCTTAGTCCATAGTTTATAGGGAGAATTCTTAGGCTCAGATGTTACCACAGGTTGCTAATTAGTAGGCATCACTGTTGATTAAATCAAACAGAGGAAGAGACATTAAAAGCCCTTGAACAAGAATTTTCCAGAAACAGTAAATAATTAGGGAGCTGATGGTTATCCTGATAGCTAGCAGTCGCATTGTGGAGAAAGACCTGCTCTGTGGTGAATGAAGCACTTGATCATGGATATAAGGAGAGGGAAATTAAAAATTCATAGAGGTCAATTTAGTCAGATTTCAATACTCTCTTTGGCACAAAAAATTCAGGCAATCCTCAGTTCTTAGAAAATGTTAACATTGTTAAGGATTATTCTTACTAAGCACAGAAACAATAGCCCTTCATATTTGTTTTGTAGTTTTGAATTTAAAGCACTTTGTACACATCATCCCATGTAATTCTCCCAAAAACGGTGAGATAGGAGAGCACCGTCACTACCCTTTTTGATGAGGTCATATAGAGAGGTTAGTTTACTTTTCCAAGGATAGCTAGTAAGTGAGAGATGAGCTTTTCATATTTTAAATATAAAATGTTGAGGGTGGCAGTTGAGTTTATAAACTGTCCTTGGTTTCCTAAGTATATACGTATCTGGTTTATAATACAGGATGAATAATCTAAAAAAATTTTTAATACTGCAACTGAAGAAGGATATTTTTAGGACCTGACTGTCAAGACTCCCAGAAATTGTTTTCCTTTTTTTTAAAGTTACTGTTGTATAGTTTTTTACATGAAAAGTTTAATTTTATTTACATGAAGCAGCCTGAGAGCAGAGACCTGGTCTTCCAACTTCCTCCTGACTTACTGCACCTGCCGTACTGTTCGTTGGCACTCATTAAATCCTTTGGAATGAGTTGGGGGGTGGGCGCACTATTGGGAAATGGTTAGCAATGTTGTTGAATCCTGACTAAACTACAGAATGAATACAGCATTGGTTCTTCTTAGCAAACATTTCCTGTATGTACAAGCACATATGGTCCCTATTAAAAAAATTATGCACATAATATGTGTTCACCAGCATGTATCTTTTTTTACACACATACATTTTGAAACACTCTTAAGCCTTCAGGAAAATTGCAGGTATAGTGTGAAGAGCTCTTTCCCCCTGAACCACGTGAGAATAAGTTGCTGGTATGTTTCATCATCCTTACATACTTGCTTATGTATTTCCTGCCAACCAGAGATGAGAGCATTCTCTGTAACCACTATATAGTGATCAAAATCAGGAAACTAACACGGAGACATTTCTACCCTCTGATCCGCAGATGCTCCTGCTGTGCCAGGTGACCCCACGGTGACCTTTGTAGTGAAAGGTCCAGTTAGGAGCCTGGGTCACACTCTGTTGTCTCTTCAGACTCCTTTAATACAGAACAGTTCTCAGTCCTTTTTGACTCTCATGACCTTGACACTCTTGAAGATTACAGGCTAGTCATTTTGTGGAATGTTCCTCAATTTGGATTTGTCTGATGTTTCCTTATGATTAGATTCAGGTTTTGCATCTTTGGCAGGAGTATCACAGAAGAGCCAGTATATATCTTTTTCAAAGATTAGTTTTACATTTTATTTTCTGTTTCCTTAGAGCGTTTCCCAAAGTGTATTCTGCGGAACTAGCACCTACTGTGTTCTCAACACCGTGCCACCTCTAGAAGGTAGGATTCGAAAAGCTTTTGACTTACAGGAAGGGGTGGGCTTGGCAGTAAGAGTAATTCCATCATGGTAGTACAGTAGAAATAGCCTGTGACCAGGCCTTAGGGGACTGGGTTCTGCCTTAACTTGCTGTGTGATCTTAGATGAGTTACTTAATCCTTCTGGGGGTAGCAAAATAATACTCCCTTTGTCAAGTTTCTGTGAGGGTTCAAAAAGGCAAAGGGTATAATCACATGGGAAATTCAAAGCACTCTGCAAATGTTAGATACTAATACAACAGTTCTGTAATTCTAGTATCCAATTCCTATGACTTCGAGTAGGAGCTGTGTGGTATTGTGGGAGAAGCCACAGGTCATGTTTGAATCCCATTTGAGTCACTAGCTGTGGCTCCTGGGCAAGTTAATCTGAACCTTAGGTTCTTCATCTGTAAAATGGGGGTAATTATGCCCTGATGGGTAATTGTGAAAATTAAATGAGAGAACGCAATGTAAAATCCTTTCTGGATGCTTGATGTAGAGTCCCACAAATGTTTACTTCCTAATAAAGAGTAGAAAATAAGTTTACTTGATCACATGCAGCTCAAATTGAAATTGAATAGAATGAAGCAGGAGAGGATGCCCCAGAACCCAAATTGAAGCAATCGATTGCACAACTTCTGTGCTCCCACTTTATCTGCCTCCGCTTGCATATTTTTTAATTGAAAATGTAAATGCAGATAAATAGTGAGAAGCTTATTGAACCTGACTTAGGAGTTGACCTAAACCTGGACCAGAGATTTGGTGGTATGATTGACAGGGAGAGGGTAAACTTGGGCCACCTAAAAAAAGACAGGGTGAGATTTGACGATCACACACTCTAAGGAGAGGAAAGGGGTTGTTAAATAGCAAAACCAGTTATGTTTTCTATGGAAAAACCCACAAAAACTATTTTTTGTTTTTTTCAACTTCAAAAGTCTTTTGGATAATTACAATTGAGTAATTCATTTTGGAGAATTTCTTTTAGAGAGATACCATACCGATGCTTGGCACATAATTAAGCACATTGTTGCTTAATTAATATTTATTTTGGATGCATAGTGGTTTGGAGGTCTTAGGTTAGTGACGGCGGTATTTGCTGCTGTGAGCGCTGTGCTGACTTGAATACAACAATATGTGCTTGTGTTTTCCTGAATCAGCTCCTAGCCTACTAATTAAATCTAAGCACATAATAATTAGAGCTGAACAGAAAAATCGTAGAGCTTCCTTTTAATTTTGCCATTCCAAGTTGTTGATCAAATGTATTCCCAATAAGATTTAGCAATTGGATACACTGTTATACCAACTTATTTTGAACAGTTTGGTCTTAGAGGTTGAGAGATTAATCATAATTGACTTGATTGAATAACAGTGTTCATGATGATTCACGGAACCAAAATTATTTAATTTTTATTAGTTATCAGTCAAAATAAAATGGATGTTATCATTTCCAGGTTAAAGTTAATATAGTTATAATTTCCCTTACAGGAGTCAATAGTGTGTTCCAAGGAGAGAGTTTGAATATTATCTTTTTTGATTTAAATGAAGGGTTTGGTAATGTGAGTTTTGGTTTTTTGAAATAAAACATGAAAATAAGAATTCTACCTTTTGCCTACTTAAGTGAATGAGCATTTTTGCATGTTTTAGTTAAATTGTACGATGCCTCTAAAATTATTGTTCGGAAAATATTTGAAGGTTGTCTGGAAAGGATGGTTCAGTCTCTAGAATTACACCTGTCAGCCAAGCACATCATCTGTCAATTTCAAGAGCTTCACTAGTTATTTTTATTGTGAAGTTGGTTAGAAAACTATTTTGTGAAGTCATATATCATACACACATATTTCCCAGATAATGATAATGAAATATTTTACTGTCTTTGGTTGACACTTCCATGTTGCAGTGTCAAAATTTAAGTATTTGGATTAAATGCTGAGATGCAGTTGAAACCGGTATATACCTTATTTTCATTGTTAACTCAAGATACTGTTAATAGTCTTAGTACTGAGACAAACATTTAAAAACTGGCACATGAATTTATCTAATTGTTGTATCATTTATAGTTATTCCAAAAACATTAAAAAGCAGCCTTTAATTAAAAAACACAGTTTTGCACAGTATGGCCATGTGAGCAGTTCTTTTCCGGTGTGAAAAGCAGAGTTGCTCTCCCATCACACTGTAACTGGAAAAACTGAAATTTGAAAATACGAGTTTTAAGGTTCTGCCTGTTTGAGTTCCTAATATTCTTGCCCCAGTATGAAAATTGCCATCTTCATAAAACACAGTGGGAAAATATACCCATTGTTATGTTTCTAAAAAACATGAATTTATATTCAGCATGAACCTAAAATTCTGGAAGTAGCACAGTTTAAAAACTGATTAAGGGGAACCCATTGGCCTGTCGTACTCCTCTTCCTTTTGACCCATGGCTGCCCATTCCCGTAAAGTGCTATATTTGGAACTGTGATTGGGACAGTGCTCACACAGCCATTCTCCTTTTCCTCTTGAAAAGCTTCTGGGCCGATTCACTGCTGCCTGATTTGGTATCAGAGTGGAAGACAGAAGCCTCTTCTGTGGCAGTTAGTTGTGCTGTTGAGAAGAGTATCTCTTTCTCTTGCTCCACGTGCGTGCACACATGCGCACATGTACATACATGTGTGTCTGTACACATATGTATACACAGGCAGAGCACACGTGTCTGGGTGTATGTACATGTGTGTACACATATGTAGGGGTACACACACACGCCTGTGTGTTATAGCCACAGGACAGCTGGGCCCCTCAAGGAGGCTTAAAAGAACAGATAATTAACATCGGGTTGTAATCACCAACATAAAAATAGAAGCTGAGGTTTAATTTTCTGTTCATTATTGTTCAAAATTACACTTTAAATAATAGTTTTCTCGGAGGTATGATTAGTCATATACAGTTCAGAGTAAGGCTATTGATTGAGCACCTAGTGTAATACTGTTTTCATAAAAGGCATCCTGTAAATGGTGACTATTTGAATTGAGTATAGATTTTAGAATTTTACCTCTACTTTCAGAATTGTACACATCATGGGAGATTAAAAAAAAAAAGAATAAAACCTCTTTAGGGGAAGAGAGAAGGGAGGTATTGGCTCATGTGATTTGGTATTCTGTGCTTTAAAGTTTTATGGCCCATGGTGCCTCCCTTGGGAGGATGAAGTGCAGGGAGCATGCATAAGCACATAATACTACACTGGTTTTATAGAGGGTAATTAATACAGAACTTTCTATGAACATTCTCTTAGTTGAACACTTTGTTTTCTGGTTTCATAGCAAGATTTTTAAAAAGTTTTATTTTGCTATGAAAATTTTGGATTCTTAAAAGCAGTCAGTTTTTAAGTTTTTCAAGTTTTTATACTGCTTACAGAAATAGAGGATTGGGCATTATAATTCAGTTGGTTGTGTAGTTCATGGACCAAAAAAGATTTAGTATGCTACAATTCTCTTAAGTTCCTCCCTTTAAAATATTTCCATATTATGTAGTAAATTTTTTCAGACTTTATTTCTGTGCCCAATATTTTTCTGTTAAGGTCTTTTCCTTGAGAAGAAATGTGTTAATCAGATGAAAAATGTTTGGAGAAGATTTTGTTGTGATTGTAGAAAATTTTTTATTCTTCTATGTTTTTCACATGTTCAAAAAATAGGCTATGCTAAACAAAATTACAGTAAATGACTGGAAGGATATATTGTTGTATTTCACTTTTAATATTATTAACTAATTCCTGTATGTCTATGTAAGGTTCTTTAATTGTAAGGCATTTAAATTTATTGAATGGCAGTAAATTTCATAGGGATTTATGCCTGGAGGAGAACTGGAGATGACTTAATTCTCCTTGATTTGGAAAACTGAGAATATTAAGTAACTTACCCAAGGTCACACAATTAGAAAGTAGCAGAACTGCGTCAGAATCTTGGATTCTTGATTTGGAGGTCAGTGTTTTTATTACAACTTTTAATATCAGAATAAGTTACTTTAACTATGATTTTCTGGAGCAGATTCAGTCTTTAGTATTTCAGTGTGTTGCTCCTAGTACCTGGTTATGCATTGCACTTTGGATATTGGGGCTTCCATTTAGCATTAAAAAAAAAATTGGACTGGGTAATTCTAAACTTTGACCTAAATGTGCCAAAACTGGCAAGAAATTTTGAGCCAGGCAGAGGGACTTTGTTATGGGAATGAAACAAGAAGTGATCTGTAAATGAATGAATGAATGAAATAATACATAAAGGAAATGATCTCTTCTAGAAAGTATCCAGGAGACTGATTATCAGGTAGTCAGACATACCATCTTGTCTGAAAGTAATGAACTTTTCTCTCACTAATTTAGAAGAGTTACATTTTGATGAAAGACATTAATTAAATAGATATGTGTATGTAAATCAAGTTAATTAAAATGGTATGTTTTTAGATTTAGGCTAGAAGGACCAGCCTCTGTATTTACCTAGATAGCTAACTGCAGGTTTAAATTCCTTATATTTCTAAGATTTGTAATTTGCTTTTGAAAGGATAAGTCTCCTTTGTATTCTTGGGGATGAAGTAGTATTAGTTTATGAATAAAATAGTCATATTTTATTATTCCTCTTCCCTAAAAAAACTTTTTTTCACCTGGTTAATAGAAGATTTCTGGGTTTTGTGAGGTTAAATCCTTTTGCAATTTGGACGTACTTCATGGAAACCTGGTGGGAGAACCTTTAAAAGTAATGTTCTGGTTATGGGCAGCTGCTAGGATATTCCCTGTTCACTCGCTTGTCATGGAGCAAAAGCTCGGATCTTATTTTAGAGCCTCTTGACCAGATTCCTGCTGCCACCTATCTGATCAGTGTGTAAATGAGCATTGTTAACCAAGAGGAATGGTGCTCTTGGTCTCACGGTGACCAAACTAAGCTGCCGTTTCTGACCTTGCCAGTATACTTAAAAGGAGATTTTCCTCTATTATTTTCTCTGAATCTATTGTTTTCTTCTTTATAGATGATCATGGGAACAGCAATAGTAGTCATGTAAAAATCTTTTTACCGAAAAAGCTGCTTGAATGTCTGCCGAAATGTTCAAGTTTACCCAAAGAGAGGCACCGTTGGAACACTAATGAGGTAGATAAATTTCTATTTTTAGGGGTACAATTATTTTAAGGGCAAAGTTGTTAGGTCATTTGGCATAGTGTACTACTTTTTATTAGTTTTTAAAATCAAAATACTGGACTAGGGGATTGTAAATGAGAATATTTAATCTGGGTTTAACAGACACCAACATGTTTCTTGAACTATCTCTAATCTGCTTGGCTGGCGTTGAAAAATATAAAATGTGCACGCTGACTTACTAAGGTAGCATGAGTTACCATACTTGTGTTCTCTTGCATTTTGGCGTCTTACATTTGGTGGTTAACTTGCCTGCATCTCAGCTAAACACTAGTTCTTATGTTGTTATGAGTTAATAAAGAGACAGCCCCAGTGTTCCACAAAACGTGCAGTTTCTTGACAGTGTGAAGTTTCTGTAGGATTGGGAAGGGCAGGCTTCTTATTAGCAAAACAGCTCTCACAACAGTCCTTTGTGATGAAAAGAGTTTGCATGGAGAATTGATGGGTTTACCTTAATGATAGGAGTTTTTTTATTAGGAATGGAGGCTGTATGGTAGATTGTGTATTTGGCATCCAATTAGAAGATTGGTAAAGTAGAATGAATGAAAGTATCTTCTTGGATGATGTTTCTTGTTTTTGGTAAGTCTTAGTCTGGGAGTCTTAATATTAAGGGTGGATTGCTTTGTCATCTTTTTAATTTTGAAATCTGAATATTTCCATGTAGGGTAATACGCATTTAGTTGGTGATGAGAACTGGGTATGTGTCCAGTGATCTGGGAATTGTATTCCTTTAGTTCAGATGGCTATGATTACTGGTTTTCCAAAGTTGGTCTGAGTCAGTTTGTGTTGCTGGTTCAACATGCACTTCCAAGTTAAATTAAATACAACCCCCTGCTGTGTATTGGGCCCTCAGTTTTGTTAAAAGACACAAGAAGACAGTAGTGCTGCCTACTTACCTTATCTTTTTGAGATTATTTTATTCTAACTTCTTGACATGGAGTGCTTTTGTTTTGAGTTTTAAGAGGTTATATGGGTGAAAGTCTGTCTACTTAATCCTAGTTTACAGATTTAAATACTCAGTAGACCCTCATAGCTTTGATACCTTGTCTCAACTGATTTTAATTTCTTTTAAGGTACGTATATTTTGATTATTTGCATAAATTATATTTCCCCCTTAGACAAAATACTTTTACCTTGATAAACATTAGCTAGTTTAGAGGCCTCTTGTTTTAATCAGTCATCGATTAACGATTTTAAACATGAAAACAAAGTAAATATGCTGAAGATTAGTTTTAATCATAGATCATTACTCTGTCAGCAAAATAGTATGATTTGGGAGCCATTCAGTAGGTCATAACTAGGTCATGAATTATTTAAAAACTCAGTATGTTTCTTAGTATTCCCTGAAACATGGATCTGCTACCTTACTATTATATGTTAGCTCTAGTTTATTTGTAAATGAAACAAAACACATAATTGGTATATATTTTTTCAATATTATGTTTTATGTGAAATTGGCAATTTATTTTTAATTACGACTTGAAATTGTATTTGAAACCAGCAAGCGCTTAATTAAAATCCGTGGTCTTTAGGGTCTTCTGAAGCTGGAGTCACAGTATTGGAAGCTCAGTTGGTAGACTGTTCAGATCCTTGCACAGGACTTCACCTTTCATGTATTTATCTCTGGTTATTGACAGGTTCCCCTTTACTCATAGTTCAGATACATTATAAAACACCTAATAAAGAATTTTTATAGAGGATGAGATTAAAAGGAAATACGGAGCTGTTCTGTACTTTCTTCTAGGACCCTGGCCCAAAGAGCTCCTTGGAGACTGCTGATTTAGGTCACAGTGTTGCAAAAGTCCCTGTCCAGAGAGGAGACTTCGGTCCCCTCTCTGACTGGCGAAACATAAAACTGGGGGCTCTGAGACATGTGGATTGTTTTGTGCAAGCTACCACTGCTGCTGAAAACGCCAGTGAACAACGTGTGTTCCCAAGGGTGGCTGGAGGCAGGATGGGTGGCTCAGCCGGCAGGGGCCAAGGCTCATACCCTTTTCCCTCATGACCCGTTGTTCTCTCAGTAATTTGTCAGCTCAACGCTGACAAAAACTCTTATGAGAGAACTGAATTTAAAGGTTGGCCCATATTTCATTTCAATGTAGAGGACATTGGCTTTCTTTCTTGTTTATTTTTGGCTTTAGGAAAAATAGGGGACTCTGGGAGTGACAGCTGAAGACTTAGGAGTCCTTAATTCTGCAGAGTGTTACATGGTGATGGTAACCTGTCTTTTTTTTTTTTTGAACTGGCTTGGATAACAGGAATAAAACAATCCGTACTTCTATTAAAGCACTTCCTTCTTTGATCTAGCTGGGTATTGGCATTTTCCCACATTCTTCAGCCTGCCATCCTGCTAAACCTGAAGGAAGCGTCCTTCCGTGGACTTGTCTCTCTCTGGGGCTTTTGGTCCTATTTACAGCAGAGTCATGCTTAGTCAGAGTTGCCCATGAAGTCTCTTGAATTGCTCATGGAGTTAAGTTTAGTCATACTGCCATTAGTGAGGGCTCGTTTCCTGCTGGGGTTGGAATAGATTGCTGTGTTTTGGTGGAGGACCACATGAAGAAGTCGGCTTGTATTTGGGAGCAGTGTTGTACCAAAACTGGTTTAGATCCCCCTTTCCTGGGACAAGGTGCTGTCACTAGGAGAGGCGTGAGTGAGGGAGGGCGGTGGACAGCACACCTGATTGCTGTTTTCCATGTCACTCTGTGCAGCATATGTTCGCGGAGCAGCCTGGTGGCTGGAGTTACCTGTCTAAGGTGTCTCTGTCTTCTATGCTCGCTCTCTGCTGGGTGTGTACAGTTCAACTCCTGAGTATAATGTGACTCCTCCATGCTTTTGAGAAATTCCTTTGTTGAGACCTGTGTTGTAATATTTGTGATGATTTGAGAAAACCTAGCTTTTGTACTGTGTCTTTGTTGAGAGAGAGTGAGATTGTGCCCATTCACATGTTGCCATTTATCGAGTCCCTGTTTTTGCTGATGGCTGGGCACTGTGTATAATTATTTCTGAGCCTTATAATAATGTCACAAGATATGCCATATTTCCTTTTACTGATGTAGTGGTAAAAAGTGGTTAACTCATTTGGTCAAGATAGCATACTTGTTAGGGCCCGTCTCTCTCTGAGCTTAATTTCTTGTACGTTGCTTACTAATTCTTAGGAACGTTCATTCTGTTGTAATGTTGTCTTGGCTTTTAATCAAAGACCCGTAACTCTTAACCACATTAGTGTACTTGGCAAATCCGTTCTGTCATTTAATTTTGGATTAAAAAGGGTTAACACAGGATTAGTGTTGTGGGTTCATATGCAAACATTTGGTGAAGCTGAAAGTCACTAAAAAGGAAGACTACCAGAAGATAAGGAGGTCTTAGGGCCCAGCTAAGCTCCTGGAACCTTTCTTAACACATTGGAATAGGTAAAATCTCCTGCCCTTCCTGAATGTTATTTGCAGTTGCAAAATAAATGTTGTGTCTAGAAACAAATCAGTGTGGATTATGCTTTCTCAGCCACACACAGCCTTTGCCCATGTTCTTACAGGCGATAAAGGAGGGGTGACGGTGATGATGGGGCAGTAATTATGGCAGCCAGCATTGACTGAACATTACTATGTGTGTGGCACTGGTGGGTCCTTGATGCGAATAATCACATTTTTTCCTGGAATTCATCCTATGAGGCAGATTATGTGCTTACCTTGTATCGATGAGGAGATCTGAGCCATAAAGATGTTAAATAATGTGCCCCAGAGTGGTGGACTTGAGAGTCTAACCTTGCAGCCTGATTTCAGAGCCCATCCTCTCTCTAGTTCTGTCCCAAAGAATAATTTCAAACAGACTTTCTCAAGATCTCGCAGCTGTTTAGTGATTTCTAACCCTTTTGTTTTATAGAATTGTTTGGCTTCTTTATTTATTTACATCTTCAAGTATTAAACATATTTTTGCATGAAGTTTTTTTTAAAAGTAGCACTCATTTCGGGGCACTGGGGTGGCTCAGTTGGTTAAGCATCTGACTCTTGATCTCAGCTCAGGTCTTGATGTCAAGCGTCTGACTCTTGATCTCAGCTCAGGTCTTGATCTCAGCTCAAGTCTTGATGTCAAGCCCCTGCGTTGGGCCCCATGCTGGGTGTGGAGCCTACTTACAAAAAAAAAGTAGCACTCATTTCTTAGGGAAATAGTTTTGATTCTTTTTTTTTTTTTTTAAAGATTTTATTTATTTATTTGACAGAGAGAGACACAGCGAGAGAGGGAACACAAGCAGGGGGAATGGGAGAGGGAGAAGCAGGCCTCCCGCCGAGCAGGGAGCCCGATGCGGGGCTCCATCCCAGGACCCTGGGATCATGACCTGAGCCGAAGGCAGATGCTTAACGACTGAGCCACCCAGGCGCCCCAATAGTTTTGATTCTTAATGAATGTTAATATGTAGGCTCTGGATAATGAAAAAATATTAAAAGTAGACATTTTGAAGCTGTGTGTAACTTGAGGGTTAGGCTTGATCTTTTATATCCAGGGCAGGAGAGAAAGAATGTATTAAACAGAGCAAAATTGTTGAAGAACCGGCTCTTATTCCATAATCAGTTTGGCATTCACGTCTTCATTAGGTGAACTGTTATAAGGTTTCTGCATTTTAAGTTAATATTTTTAAGGCCCAGAGCCAGAGATCATTATGCTAATGCAACTTTCTGATTGCACAAATGACTATTTATAATTACACATATTAGTGCTCCATGTATGTTGTCCAGACTGAAATTCTTTTGTTTAGTCATTAATTAGCTGTTTGACTTAAACTACGACTACTGTATTCCCCCAGTCGCTGGATCTGGATTTCAGATGGCATTCTTCCAAAGCCGAGCTAATGCACACCAACAGACCTTTTTAATGAAAATGTTCTGCTTAAATGTTCAAATCACTTTTGTGTGCTACTGTTTTTGAACTATTAATGCTCTTTTTTTTTTGTTTTTCCTCTA